ATTTTGGAAATTTTGCCGTTCGTGAGTATTTGGACACCTGTTACATTCGCATAGAAAGTATAAATAAATGGAAAATGAAAAATAAAATTTTTTTTCAGATTTTTCGTTGAAATTTTTGGAAGAAATCGATTTTGGAAATTTTGTCGTTCGTGAGTATTTGGACACCTGTTACATTCGCACAGAAAGTATAAATAAATGGAAAATGAAAAATAAAATTTTTTTGGAGATTTTCGTTGAAATTTTTGGAAAAAAACCGATTTTGGAAATTTTGTCGTTCGTGGGTATTTGGACACCTGTTACGTTCGCACAGAAAGTATAAATAAATGGAAAATGAAAAATAAAATTTTTTTTCAGATTTTCCGTTGAAATTTTTGGAAGAAATCGATTTTGAAAATTCTACCATTTATGAAATTCTAAATTACATCTCTTCGTCAAAGTTAGTATCGTACATCGCTAAAAATAAAGCGTTTTTCTCGCAAGTAGATACTAAATTTATGAGAAAAACGGAAGAAGACAAAGTTTCATTACTTTCTAAGCACTAATTTTCAATATCAATTAAAATTTGCAATAATTTTCACGTCACAACGATATACAATTCTTCGTATATTTTATAAAAAAAAGTTCCCGAGACATCGACAGCTAATTTTTATTCGCCTCGGTATTTATAAACATTGAAAAACAAAAATTCCTTAAAACGTGTTTACATTTCCTTAATTTGTCAAGCTAAATTCTGGACAAGAAAAAATATTGCAAACACTGGGTGTATTATTTTACTACGATGAACTTCAACACAGATAAAAATAGTCGATACTAAAGTAATCTAATGTTACTACACAGATAAGCAAGAAATTGAAAAAAAAAAAAAAAGATTTCTCGAAAATTATGTCTCGAATGAGAAAATTTCGTTCTACAATTTCCGTTCATTTTTGCTAAATCGTATCATCCCTGTACAGTGGTACTCGAACAACGAGGAAACTACTGAATCAGCAGTCAGACTAATTGTAAGAAAGGACCTGGAAATCCCCGTATATCATCAACGCCACTCAAAACACGAAGCCTTAGCATATGTTGCTTAAGCACTTAAGCAGATTTGGCTTGCACTGTGAGAACAAAAAGTGGTATAGTTGAGAAACATTGAAGAGAACCAGGAAATCTAACTTTGTATCACGTGTAGGTACTATATTCGGTAGAGAAGGTACAAACAGCACCACAGAATTCCAGGAGAGAGAAATTTGCAGAATTACCGCAGAGCTGGACAAGTGACACTGTTCTTTTATTTGCACAAATTCGTGTATATTCTGTTACTAACGCAAAGTGTTGCTTACCGCGCGCACATTTATTAACTCTACCATTAGCATATGTACTTTGTAGCTCGCTAAATGTGCGCGTGCGTGTTTCGAAAGAATTTTTCTCCCGATGAAAAGAAAACGTTGTGCTTTATTTCGCTTTAATTAATTTTCTTCTGAAGCTTGTAAAGCAATTAGAATTTATTATTAAAAATAGTCGTGTTATTTAGGAAATAGTTACGATAAATTTGATGTTATTTTACTTTAACTAATTTTCTCCTAAAAATGTTTAATATCGTATGTTAAGAAGCTATTAAAATTCATTGCTGAAAATAGTCCTCCCCTTTCTGAAATAGTTACGATTAATTTCACTCGCTTCGTAAATTATTGCGACAATTGTGGTTTGGTCGGTGAAGATAATTAGTTCTTACAAGAAACTTTCATCACTTTACTTCCATTTATTTACTGTACAACGAAATCAGCGAAAAACCGGCGAATGCCACTCAAAAATGTAATCCAAAGGGGGAATTCCCGACAGTTACACGCTTCTGTCTAGGTTAGGTTAGGTTATTCAACAGATCGAAGTAGTTGATCTTAATAGACAAAACTGAATTATTTTCGTGAATCTATCAAACGTTTCTAATTTACTTATTTCATCAAACTCTTGCCTTATGATTTTTTCATAACCACGTATGCTTGTTATTGTTTCAATTATAAAACTGTTCTTTACTTTATACGCGAGGAAGGCGCGTCGCTACACAATGACAACTCGACAAGAAAATATCAGCGTCCGTCCATACTAAACACATGGTTACTGTGTCATTCTTCTGTAAATGTTTATATTAACCTGTCTCAGTATTTTTGTCTTAGCTGTTTACAATTTTAACGCAAAAAACAATATTAAATTAAAAGAAAAAAATTGAGATTCTCAGGAACTTACAGCGACACGACTTCTAACCTCAAATGTACGAGCAGAAGCTCGTACACACGTCGTCGGCAAACTTCTTTTCACTCCCAAAATAAGGAGACGTCGCGTATCGAAATGAAACTCGACGTCAGGTTCGCGATTAATTTAGATTACGCATTTTTGTCGCGATACATTCGTAGCCGCCTGCGAGAATCGCGGTTCCCGCGCGAAAAGGGCGTCCTTTATCGATTCGAAAC